TATGATAATAGGGGATGCGAAGAAACAAAGACCAACCTTTTTGTTTACTGAAAATCCTTTGTTTGAATATCGTTCACTTTTGTCATGGTGAGCATTCACATTTTGTTCAATTAAACAGAACAATGTCACAATGCAAATTTTAGTTTAGTAGCACCAGAGTGTAACCAATACAGTATTTAAAACTGCTTCATTAGTGGAAGAACAGCCTTCTGTTAGATTATGAATCATATGAGTCTGATTGCCTTAAAGGCAAAATAAGTTGGCTCATATTTGTCATTACATTCAGGTTAAAATTGGATTGTAAAACCTATGCAACTGTTTTACTTTTGACAAATTGGGATTTGAATTCATTCTGACAAAAAGGAATATCTCTCTATGACGTACTTAAAAATTATGTGTCCTCCATTAAGCCTTGCATCCTCTCAGAAACAGAAAAGGGTGCTATTTTGAAAAGTGCTAAGAATATGTATTCGGTGTCTCTTTTCCCTGTTTTGCCTTACTATTACAGCAGTAATATACAACCCATGTTCTAATTGCAAAATTAATATACGTTATAGACTCAGACTTTTCTTAAACATTTCAACTCTTTCACTCACCATCTTTCCTTCTTTAAGCAGAAACAATTGTATAGTGATCTTCTACTGGAATTGCAGCCATTTATGTTTAAGATAACAGTTAAATCTGATATATCAGCATTGTTTTGTACAAATCATTCTTTTAGCTTTTCTGGATGTGTAAAGAGGAAAAAAGAAATATCTGACAATTAGTCAATATTAGTCCTACATATTATTATGTGTTTATACATTTAAACTCCACACATTTGATAAAGTTTAGTTCATGATAGTAAACGATATTTGTCTTTGAGGATATGAATCTTAAAAGATAATAAATATACAGTATATATGAGCTTATGAGGTTTTAACAAATAATACCTATATGTATTCATAAATAATACAAATATAAATAAACTGTAGGATTTCAATCAGTGTACAGGGACTGCTTGTTACTCTGTCTGAACGGTTCCCAATAACCAAACAGCACTTTTGCAATTTACTGTTAGAATTTTTAGTTCACATCACCACACTGAGAAGCCCTACTGAATGAAGTCTGTTATTAGTATCATCAAAGAAAAACTCTTTTTCAGAAAGTTGCTACTGAGTAACTTGTAATTATTCAGTGAAAGAATTGAAGTAATCAAAAATCACTCATAACAGGAAATCTCCTGGGTTGGATAAATCAAAGAACTTTTGGTTTTAAAAAATGCACTGACTTTCAAAAAGATCTTACTACTAACACTAAATATCTAAGAGATCTTCCTGAGTGACTTACTGCTGGTGTCCCTTTCCTCTTGGAAATTCCCAAGAACTATCGTCCGATTACTTGTCTGCTTGCTGGTTAAAAGATCCTGCCAGCTATCTACAGAGGTCAAGCTGGGTTGTCAGGTACCTAGAGATGGAATGAGGCTATCCCAGACATTAGTGTCCGTAGCGCCATTCAAACTCTTCACTCCACCTCTGTCTATCTTCCAGGCATGGTGCTCCACATTAAGAGAAGAAAATAATCCCTACTGATCACTGCAACTGTTCCATTTGATCCCACTCTAAAGTTGATGGAAACAGAAAGAAGGAAGGAAATTGAGATCAGGATGGTGAAGTGCTAAGGCAAGAGGAATTGCCTGTGGTCATAAAGAAGACAAAAAAAAAGATCACACTCATGGGAACCAAACACAATCTAAGAGACCCACCCAGCTTAAGTCACGTCTGAGAGTGCCGGGTAAGTCCTGAATTACTTTATAAGCTCTGATTGAAACAACAATAATAATAATAATAACTCATTATATCTCTTGGTGGAAGCCTGATTTTTAAATATGAAATTAAATTAGGTTGAATAGAAACTAGGTTGTTTAAGGAAATGGAACACTCTTAAATGGAATTTCCTATTGATGTAACCCTCATATCTTGTAATACACAGAAATCAGCACCCTCTGTTAGAGGAAACTGAATGAGCACATTTGAGTTCAAAAGGATGTCATGCAAAGCTCGTGTGTTTAAGTGTTATTCCTCTGCAAAGCGTTTTAAATTTGTTAGGCATCATTGTACATAAAGTGACTTTGCTGATGTCAGCAATTTGAAATCTAGAGCCTTGATGTACTGTTTTTTAAAGATTTTGGTCGCTCAAGATTACCAGGGTATTTGAAGTTCAGAGCCTCAGAGCCACCCAAATGGGCTCAATGCTGTTTGATAGCTGAGGTTTTGGCATCTGCCCTGAGTATCCCATTATACAGCCATCCCCACTGTCTGCACCATAATTCCAGCTGTAGCTTTACAGTATTGTCAAAACCATATATCTGTACCATCTCAGTGCATGGTATAATTTTAAATCCCATAAAACGTTGTTCTTAAATAATCTTAATCCAAATTTATTTGAACATCATGTGTTTCAAAAGCAGGCTGAAAGAACACATCTACAGTAGGTCTCATCTGGAATCCAAACTGTGCCTCGCAGCCTTTTCTTTTTATTAAGAATCAACCTGCACCAAACATAGCCCGGTTTTTGGACCAGTCGGTGCAAGAATCTGATCACTGTATTTTATAACTAAGATATTTTTAAGACATAAGTATTAAAATCAAAATATCTCCCACAATCCAGAGGCATGCTGGTAGGTTAATTGGCTTCCGGGCAAATCGGCCCAGGTGTGAGTGTGTGTGTGTCTGCGTTTGTGTCTGCGATGGATTCCATTCCATTCAGGTTGGATTTCACATTGAGCCTGTTGCTTGCCAGGAAAATGCAGGCACCCCTGTGACCTTGAAGTGGGTGAGGAAAACACAGAAAATTGATGGATAGAATTATTAAAATATTAAGTAAATGAGACATATGTGAAATGGTTAATTCTCTAGCTTGAAAACCAGCTCGGTTGGATTGCAACCTTTAAGTGCCAATTGTGTTTACAGCAGTATGTAGAGCTGCTGATTAATTTCTTTCTGAGTTTCTTTCACTTTGTTTCAGCCCCAAAGCCTTTTCATCTGCTACTGGCAGGGAAGCCATTACTCATAGGGGTGGCCAAATGAGATGTCAGAAACACTTATCATCAAACTATTTTTAAAAGGTGGTTGCAGTAATAACACTGTAATAATAAAAATGATAGGTATCAATTACAATAGCAACACACATTCATCAGCTTTTCAAATAATCATTAGTATAATGATTGCTGATCATTATGATTATGTTGAGATGCTGATTATATCACCTTACCAGCACAGAAAATGTATAATTCTGTTCATCCTATGGTATGTGTCCACCAGCTGTTGTGTTTAATTACAACACGGTGATCACATTACCCTGTGCTTCACAAATACAAATGTTGTGATGTATGGATTTCTTTTCGGTTGCTGTAGTGCTGTTGGGTGCTGAAATAAGGATACAGTTCACCCAAATTAAATACAAAAGGTTATCTTGATCGATGTGCTTACCCTGACTTGATGGTTGCCTTATATTTGTAATGATCTCAAACAAGCAGCACAGAGCAGAGGTTTCTAATCCTGGTCCTGGAGACACAGGATTGGGAACTATTGGCACTGTCTACCATAATGCTTTTGGTTTATTAATAAAAGAGGTTGGCTTACAAAACACTGAAGCAAAAATCATAATATTTTTGTGGGATTTTTCCTTTACTAGAGTGAAATAGCTTTTCAGTGCTTCATAAAATTACGTCACAAAATTTGGTAAGCCGTACTTTATCCACAGTTTATAGAACCGAAATAAAATGATTTTTTTTAATTTATTGCAGAATTCTAGCAAGCTCCTTCAATCCTCAGCATTGCTCTGGAAATCCTCAGGAGAACAGCCTGCTCTCCACACCTTGTTCCAAGTGGAACACCTTGCTTTTCCCAGCACAGCGTGTCTTCAGTCTATGCAAAGGTATTTTAAAAGAGTTTGATCTGTTTTTCTTTTCATTAAAGAAAGCAAAACATTCATTCTTTTTTACATAAGACTATGTTGCTGAAAGTCATGCCTGGCCATCTAGCTCATTTGAAAACAATAACAAAATAGTTTTTCTAATGGTCATTATCAAAAGGAATTTATCAAATTCATCTTTGTAGAGAGTTAAAGATTGTCTCATCCAATGTCAGTTACATTCTATACAATTTCTGACAGTGATCTTAAACGATGTGATATGACAACATCTCGATAAATTGAAATATTTGGATTCTTTTGAAGGACAAGAAATACACCGGACTGAAGTGACTCTCAGTCCTTGTTGGCTTGCTTTTGTCTCATTTCCAAAAACGCTTAACAAAAATAGAGGATTGATCAATACAAGCAATTATGATCTTACAGCCTCTAAAAGCATTTATGAGAAATACGATTTCATTGTGACTAATCTGTAGTCTTCAGTAGCTCTCATAATTGCTTCTGTACAACCAACAGCAAATTTACTGATTTTGTTTTCTTTTGCCAGGAGTAATTTCTCTGTGTGATCCCCAGGATCTCTGCTTGCTTTAAACCTTATAAATCCATCTCAGGATTCACTACCGTTCACCACAGACAGCTTTATTTAGTCCCTCCTGGAGAGACAGTCTGTAAGGCCACTTTCATGGAGAACTGTCTCTGTTTTGTCTGCTGCTAGAACTTCTTCTATTGAATTTGGTTCCTTTAAACCTTTTTAGAAGGTTTTGTGCACAGTATGTATTTAGCATCTCATCTGGTGTGTAGCTGTAACCTGTGCGCCTCCTGAGAGGAAAAATGCTGTGTCCAGGCAGTCTGACTTCCAATTGACATCCCTGTTTTGGGGCATGTTTTGGGCTGAACAATATACCCTTATGAGATAAAAAAAAAACCTTCAAAAAAACATTCTTCACGGTTGTTAAAATAACAGGACGTAGATATTTACACCACAGGTGATGGAGATTTGGTTCCAAAATGGCATTATTGGTAAGGAAAAGAGATGAAAGTCATGGTTATGTAGTGTGCATGCACATGTAAACAGAGGGCAGACATAGTCAGAGAGAACACGTTTATTCTGAATCCACATATAACACTGGCAAGAAATGAGGGAGAATATATTAGGGAGTTGCCCAGCGCAGCATCATACTTGTATAGCAGCCAACAGGGTCCTGAAGAGTTCATTTGCTGGGGGAGGAGAGGGAGAGAGTTTCCGCCGCAGGGGTCAGTGGAAAGACACCCGCACAAGAGCAGCCAGGCTCAGGCCTGGATACCCCACAGGTCCGTGGAAGAGCGCAGGTACTTGACTTCTCTCTCCTGTGTGGTTCAGAGCCCTGGATCTGGGCCCGTGGGCGTCTTCGAAGAGCCCGTAATTCCGTCTCCGATATTCTGTTCGGTATTCTCCAGGAAGAGCGTCTGCGAGGCCGCGCCACCGGCCATAGGTCCAAGCACATCAGTATTTCCTTACAGAAAGCACTCCCACGCCTCAACATGGTCCATGCAAGACAAAGTGGGAACGAGTCTTGGAATGGCATTCTGGGCATGACCTGGGCCCTTACCAAAAATCAAGGCCCCGCACACAAAATCCCCACGGAAACATCGTTCAAGATCCAGGCAGACAAACTGAGCCTTAGCGGTTTGAGAAATCGGCATCATTTACTGAGAGAGAGCTAGTTAAATGTACCGAGGGCCAACACACAAAAAAGTGAACTAATAATGGACAAATACACACACCCAATCAATTAAATCTAAATGTATATGAAGCCCAAGAAGTGCCGTGTGTGTGTGTCTACTTCTTAGATCACTTTTGCAATTTAACGTAGGTTGTAATTAAGAAGACAGCTGGAAATTGGAAATTGGCTTTCTTAGTATGGCCAACTGAATAACCAGTTCTCTGTTCTCACTTACAGTCTCTGAATCGGGCAACTGGGTCACATTTATTACACTGTGGAAAATAATATATCAGCAAACAATATTTGTTTGCTATATAAAACTATTACCTATTTAAAGTGAATGAAAGCACAAATTAAAACACAAATATTTTCATATAAGGTTCATTTGAATTTTATGCAGAGCATATGCAAAGCTTTTGTTTTCTGTTTTTTAATTGGGAATTTTTTCTACTACAATCCACATTATTGTGATTACAGTTCCAATTTATAGTCTCATTTTGATTTTTTCACTTTATATATTTCAATCTAATGTCACTTTCTTTTCATAGTAGTACTGCTAAATACAACTGTTTGATGGACAAAACAGGTTTTTTACACCAGAAAAAAGACATCAGTTGAGAAATGTGAATGTTACTAAATAAATAAATCAGGCTTGTTTTAAATACATTTTCTTTTGCCTGTGTTCTCAGATTTTGCATTAATATCGTTTTGTCACCTGCTTTCGAGTACTATCCAACTCAAACACCTGTAATGAGTGAACGCAATAATGAATTTGAAAAAGCTTAAGAGGATAAAAGACTTTTCTGCCTTCCTCTACAATTTCCTAAAGGAGGATTCATTTGTAAAAATGCAAAGTCCATAATACAAAAAATATATGTTGCGTCTCCATTTACAACACCCAGGAATATTAAAATAAATCGGTCAGAGTAGCTGACAAAACTGACTGAATGTAACATCCACACACAGCGGGTAGTACTTATTAACCAGAGCATACGCAGGAAAGGCCATTTGTGAACACACGCAGTGCCCGCAATTAAGACTTTCTGAAAATTCAAATAGCGCTGTGTGTTGTTAATGATTTCATATCATTTTCATTAGGTTTGGTAGTGATTAAGTTTAACTTCTATATATACACTTCTTATAAAAATAAAATAATTCAAATAAGAAAACGACACGTCGCCGTCTTCGTTTCTTTTACAAAGGTAGCCGGTGCTACAAGTTTTCATGGCTGATTAGAGGGGCAGACTTTCCTGGAGACAGATTGCAGGAGATAGACCGCTTTGCATTTTTTTAAATAGTATTAAATCCGGCCTTCCTGCGAAGTGCTTTCTGTCTCGAAGACAGAAGCGATGCAACTAAAGTTATTGCTGGCTTTAAGTAAATTCTATTGAAGACGTCCAGTCCACTTAGATTTTTTTTTTTTAAATCTATTCCCTAATCACGTAAAGATACTAATAGGACATACACACTGCCAGTCGTGGAATGGGGCCGTTTACACATTTCATCGAATATGTGTAGCCTTTTTCTTAAATTATTACAGGAACTTTGACACATAATGGCGAGTACTTTTGTCCCCTTGAATATACTTTCCAATACGTAGCCTGTTTCAGTAACGTTTGGGCCAATTCACCGGCAATCGCTTTCGAATGAAGACGTTCCGCTTCAGCACCTTGGACAGAGCCCAGAGTAAACGCCGCCGTGACCCAGGCTCAACGCGAATAGCCCACCTGTCCTGCACCGCCCCTACGGTTGTTTCTTTATTTTACAGTAGCGCTTTGGACACCGGCGACTTTTCAGCACTGACCGATAATTGTCGATAAAGTTGTTATAAAGAGAAAACGAGCCGCATTTCTTTCGCTGCTAAATAAAATGTCACCCTAGCACGGTGGTTACGAAGCGGTGAATAATAAAAATATGAACGCATCGATGAGTCTCTTTATTTTGGAAGGGCCATTATATGGAGATGGTTCGCTATCATTTTCACAATATACTTAAACATCTGTGAGCAACTTCACTGCACAAATCCGTCTATCTAATCTATGCATGTCCGGAATGTAGGATAGACCATATTGTGAACAAGGATTTTATCAATTACGTCAAATGTGGCGCAAAATAATAGTCCAATGTTAAGATGTCTCCAGTTACAGAAATACGTCGCCGTTTTATTTTTAACAATCATTTAAAACAGTATGCTTCTTATAGTTGACATCTTTTCAATATTTTCAGCATCCAAAAGAAAACACCAGAAACAACACAAAACAAAAAAAAATAATCTTCCATTCGTGCAAAACTTGCTTTTGTTGATAAAGCACTTCTTGACACAGGGACGTCAAAAATTCCACATACTGTACTTGACTGAAGCCATATTTTTTTTTCTTTTTAAGGCTATACAAACACAAAAGAATGCATTGATAGACACGCAGTTCAGGGATTCAATTCTTCGGCTTGAACAGCTTCACATTAATTCAGTAGTCCCAAGTTTACTGAATTGTCTGTGGACAAAAAGAAAAGTCAATGGATTCCCCAACAATAAAATCCAAGAATGAATTGAACTTCACTTGTATAAACTGCACAGGTCGATAAATTCGTTTATCCTAGCGATTACGGTAATCAGAAACTAATTAAGAAGTGAGGGCTCCAAGGAAACGTCAATACGTCAACGCAAACATTTGAATTAGATGGAGGTCTGTCCGCTTCCCTTGGCCGTTTTCTCAGCGCGAACGGCGGACTTTCGAGTTCTTCCATCCCAGAAGAGTCACTGGAAACGGATATCCTTGCCGATAGGTTATCTTTTTTTTATAGAGGAAACACTAGGAAGCCGGAGAAAGTCGAGTATTTCCATCCCCCCATGAGGTTACCCCTCTCCAGTTTCAGATAGAGCCGGTCTTCGCGCTCCACGTGCAGGAGGACCCCGTTGCTGGCGGCTTCTCTCGTCACGTCCTGGTCTCCGGCGAACGCCGATATGACGGGGTATTCGTTCTGCATCAGGTTTACCTACATCGAGACGTGAGAGGACAACAGATTGAACTACGAGGGAAATAAAAAAAAACAAAAAGTCGAGCCTGTTTTGCGTCGCGCCTTGAATCCCACACTTGTTGCTAGGACCGCGCCCTGACGCGTCTTTGAGGGCCTGCCTGCCTGACGGGTTTCACTGCTTGTTCTTAATCCACCGTGCACCGAGTCCCCTCCGATTTTAAAAACGTGTGTTTCAAAATCCACCCGTGTCAAAATGTAAAGCGGTCCACCCCCCCCCCCCACCCCCAAAAAAAACAAAATTACAAAGCATGCTTGCCCAGATTGAATTGTGTACACACAAATTCAGAAGGTCCCAACATCCCAGCCGTGCTCACCTGTATAGTCTGTCTGTTGTACACCTTCACCACGTGGAAGCTGAAGCTGTAGATGCCTCTCCTTGGGGCTTGGAACACACTCGATTTAAGGTCGAAGTGGTTGCCAATATTAACCAACACCTGCAACAACAGCAGCAAGACAACGCACGGTGTAAAACGGACTTTCATTTATACTTTTACAGGCTTCCAGGCGTGTGCAAAGACATCTCGTCCAATGAGGTCGGTGAGCGGAGACGGTAGAATACATTAAGCACGAGTTTTAAAAATGGGTTTTGAAATTGCCGTCTCCTAGGGGGTATTTTCGAGTAGGGTTTGTTAATTACATTTTAGAGACGCCAGAAAATCTAATAAAACCTTTTAGAGACGAATACTGGAAACGGCATCCGCTGAACAATTTACCTGCAGCAAAATGTGTTTGCTCCTTATCTATAAGCCATAAATGCACATACTGTATAGTCCTATTCTGACAAATATCATGATGTTTGGACCTTTTTTCTTTTCGTTTTTAAATGGCAGTGCAAAACTCTGAAACAGTAAGGTAGTGGGGCAACAGTCAACTTGGTTATCATAATCGATAACATGTCAATTCGATTGCCTATAAGCATTCTTCCGTCAAATATTTTGTAAATATACTGTACTTAATCTTCTGTCACGTGGCCTTCGTTGGACGTCAATGTAAAATGTTAGCGCTGAAGGCCAGTTACTGAGCCTTGTTAAGTCAAGTGATGTCTGTCAATACGGTTACGTGCTGTGTTAACGAAGGGCAAGCGAATTTGGCGCAAGCAAGTCAGTTGCATTAATCAAGGCGGCCAGACGCAGAAAAACTCCATTTGAATGGCAGCTGGCTTGATCGGCTGCAGAGCACCACTGTAACCTGTGCTCCGCGAGGTTCACAGAGCATGAACTCCTAAAAAATAAAAACGGTGCAGACACAATATCGATAACTCAACAGAAAGCAGACTTCGGGCCGTGTGGTTTAGAAGCTAAAAACAAAGTACGGCCTTTTCTGAATCTATCATTTAATAAGAAAGGCTAAACAATTCCCATAGCAATTTCAGGACGAACACAATTTGGCCTTGCCCGCTATCTTACAGCGGTCAAATTGGCTCAGAGGCTTTAAAACTATGAATTCCTCCATAACTCCTCTGTTCATTTAAACCCATATATCTACTTTGTTGTCTGTTTCAAGCTGATATGGTAAAGACAAGAATCACAATAGCGCAAGAACCTTAAGGTATGTTTAATGTAAGAACATACGGTAGCAATCGATTCACGATCTGAAAACTATTGTACACGCTCATACTATTCTATCACCTTGTACTGTAGTTTCAATTTGATTTCCAAAAGAGCAGCCTAACTTCCGTTGTTCATCGGACAACAGTTAAGCTATAACAGAGACGAAACAAAACGATCGCATTCTCGACTTAAAACTTGAGTACACATCGGGAATTATAACGAATAACGAAAGTATTACATGTTGATGCTTATTTATTAAAATGGATTCATTAATTGAATAGTGTTTCCGCATTATATTATCCCTTGTGTTTGTGTGGGGCACTTAATAATGTACAGTACGTGTGTCACCAACAATACATTATTTATTATTCATCGACAGAACTTGTCCGTGCACAAATAAAAATAAATGCAAGTTGTGAGAGCCTACTTTGCTTTCAAATCGCAGAGATTAAAAGCATATTGTATTTATCTGAATAAAAGTTACTGCACAATTAGTTTTACGGGTGGAAAACTTCAAAAGGGATCATTCGCAAAACTGACAGGGACTAACAGGAAAATGGATTATTTGGCGACCTTTCACTGTCGCTCTGCAGTTGTCAAATCGGTATTTACAGAGTGACTGGTGTCGCTTGCACGCTCAATTCGCATTAGATGATGCCTTATATCTAATGGGATATCTGACCTGGTCGAAGTAGATGGTCATGGTGGTATTGCTCATTTCGGAAGGTTCGTGGTTGGTTCCTCTGACCGCGGAAAATGCCACCTTGGCGCTTCCAGACCGGACGGAAATCCCAAGCGAGGAGGTGACTCCGCCGTCCGAAGAAGGGTTCGAGTCGCAAACCACCAAACACTTCCCTTCCAGGACGATGGGCTCCGTGTCGTTCTGTCCCAGGACAAAAGTAACGCCACATCCCAGGAGGAGAGCCAGCGCCAGCATGGTACAAGGTCCAAGACAGCTTGCTGGCACCATGATGAAGAGGCGAGTCCTGTGCACACTGATCTTAGCGATCAGCCCCTCGGAGGGTTGCTGCGTCTCGATCACCTGCTCCAACCTAACCCCTTCTGTCTCTCTCTCTCTCACACACACACACTCTCTCAGTCTCCCCTTCGTCCTCCCCCTCTGTTAAAGTCTCAGCGGAGAAAAGGACGGTCCTCAGATTGCTCGCGTGACACAACCTGCTAATTAAACAAAACCTTGGCGTTATTACCCACACCTCTTTCGCCACGGAACGATGGCATTTAAGCAGAAAACGACAGCCACGGTTGTAATGTAACAGCACAGATTAGATCAAAGTGAATGAAGACAGAACGTTAGCGTGGGAAACGCCCCCTCAATAATATAGCTTCCTTATTGTCAAGAGTGTCTGACAGTAACTAACTCCGTGTTACTGGTGCACACAATGCGGCAATGATGGGCACGGGCATTTAAACTATTTCTGCGATTGGCTTGAGCGCTGAAGTTGTACATTGCATAAAAATGCTTAGCGCGCTTGTTAAACAAGGTGCATTCATCACTACATATGTCTGTATAAATCTTCTTATCTTATCAAAATTGTACACATCTTTAAACTCCAGCCCCTATGTTGTTACAGTTGTCACAATGTATGAGAAAACTAAAATATTAAAAGCGACCTCACAACCATAAGTCATATTTAAAGGTTTGCAAGCATAATAAAAACGATAAATCCTCAAGGCTCTTTTATTCCGTATGATGACTGGAGTTAGGCGAGGAAGTGCGCTTTAGCAAAAGACGAATATTGTCCTCTATTGACTTGCCTGATAAAATAAAGGAATGAGAAAAGCGGAACTCAGTAAATACACTTACGGAAAGTCCACATACAGTGTAACTTGATTACATATTTTCCCCATTTACAGCCTTAATCCGAAAAGGATTTTTCCCCTACATAGATTAAATTGAGGCCGACAATTGTAAAATAAAGGCGCATTGTCAAGAAAAAAAGCACAAAACCCTTGCTTGAAACTGTTGATAAAACACAAATAAATACTACACAAAAAAACACAGATCGCCCTTGCCGATTACTTGCGCACACGTTTTCTATAAGAAAAAAGAAGTGCAAAAAAAAATAAAACTTAGAGGAAGCCTCTGGAAGTTTACCTGCTCGATCCATAGCATCCACGGAGGGTTTAAGGTCTGTTTCTGAGTGAGCAGCGATCTGGAGAGTAACTGAGCCGGCGGAGGAGAGAGGAGAGAAGATCGAGAGAAGCGCCCCTCGCCTCTCCCGCCCATCCTCTGTCATTTCTAACTTAGGTAAGAGCTACAGTAGGTATCACCCGCACGGAGCAAGAAAACACCTTCCCGCTGTGTACGTGGACTGGTCTCCAGACGCGGGGGAAGCCGAGTCCGTGTTTTTTGTGTCGGCAAGCATGAGCAATTAATTAACTGTTCATCTGCTCGCCCGACAGGACGTTGTGCGTTTGATACACGAGAGCCCAGGCGACACCGAGACAGGTGAAAGCGTTATTTTAAAAGGGAAAGGAGAGCAAGCAGAAATCCTGAAAGCAACAGTATTAAAACAAGCCACAGATAACAGGGCACCCCTTAACAACACAATAATGTTCATTTTAATTGGTCCTTGGAAGTTGTTTTTTTATCGGTTATACAATATATTAAGGTGTCGATACTTAGACATGGGGGATTAATCCTGATTTATAAAGTTTATTACCGTTCTGCTCGCCGATAATCCAATTTAA